TGGATGGATGGATGGTGGATGGATGGATGGATGGATGGATGGATGGATGGATGGATGACTACTCTGCAGTCCCTCCAGAGAAACCCCCTTTCTCTCTACCTTGGAGCATCTTAGTTCAGGCATCAGGGAAGCTGCCATCTTGAGGGTGAGCAGTCTTTGGCCAGAGAAGGTGGGGTGGGGTCGGGAAGCGTGTTCTTGGTAGAAGGAATAGCACGCATGGAAGCCCTAGGGTGAGAGGGAGCTGGGGGCAGCCGGGGACTTTCTGTGGGAATGAAGTGTAGCCTGCAGGGGGGTTGTGGGGGCTGACACCAGAGGGGCAGGGACTTTATCGGTGGGGGAAGGGGGCTATTGAAGGATTTTAAACAGAGGGGCTGGCTGTGCAGTTAAGTGGCTGCCCCTGGCTGCTGTCTGGGGAAGGGCCTGCGTAGGAGCCCAGGTGACAGTGACCTGGACTAGGGAGAGGCAAAGGGGCCGAGTGAGGCTACGGTTAAGATCCAGGGTGAGGTTCTACCCTCCGAGACTCTGCTCTGGGATTTTCCCCCCAATTTTTAAAGAAAATCATTATGGGGGCATGACCGGTTAGCTCAGTTGGTTAGAGCGTGGTGCTGATAACACCAAGGTTGCCTGTTCGATCCCTGCATGGGCCACTCCTCCTTAAAAGAGTCAACTATGCCACTGTAGCATGAAAGCAATGTGTAACCAATGCCCATGGCTGTTCCCCAATAAAATAAAAATAAAGGAAATCATTGTGAAGAATCTCAGACATGCACAAATGTATACAGAATACCATCCAGATGGCCACCCAGGCTCAAGAACTAGAACATTCGCAACTAGCTGCTGCCCCTCAGAGCCTCCCAGGCCCAGCTCCAGACCTCCCACCCCCAGGAGAGGGTCACCACTGTCCTGCATTCGTATTCCTCTCTCCTTGCATTTCTTTGTGCTTTTACACATATGTGATCTAGTTTTGAATCTTTGCAACTTTATTTAAATGGAATCTAACTGTTCTGCTGTAACTTGCTTTTTTCCCTCAATATAATGAGTAAACAAAAAGATTTATGGTTGGAGATGGAGAATGGTTGGCCCCTTCAAGAGATATTTAACTAGTATTAGTAATAATAATTACTGACACTTACATAGCACTTCATGTGCCAACTCTATTCGCAGGGCATTATGTCTATTAACTCATTTAATTCTCACTACAATGCTATGAGGTGTTAATTATTGTACCCTTCTAGCTGATGGGGAAACTGGGGCACAGCTGCTTTATATGACGAGGTCCCTGGGCTGGTGGAGCCAGGGTGTGGGCCCAGGCAGACTCACACAGGACTTGAGGCATGACTGGATAGGGGAGGTGAGGTTACCTGACCCACACCACTGCTGCCAAGCTTTCTTTCCACCCTGTCTTGCTGCCCCTGGGGCTGGGTCCCCTGCTGTCCTGGGCAGGGGTGAGCTGTGCAGAGGGTGGGACCTGACCCTGAAGCCAGGATTTCCCTCTGCTCCTCAAAGGCAAGAAGCAGTCCCCACTTGGGGACAAGGTGGTTGGGTCTCCCTCAAGCCCTCCCAGCCTCTGAGCCACCCTGTGTAGGCAGGTCCCTTCTATCTGCGCCCACCCTGTGAGCTGCCCCAAGCCACGATTTGACACAGTCTGCCAGACCCTCCCAGCATTCTTATGGCCACTATAGCCTCTTCTTTTTTTTTTTTTTAAAGATTTTAATTGGGGGAAGGGGAACAGACAAGTTGCTGTCCTTTTGTTCTTCAGTCTAGTTGTGCAGGACGTCGCTTCACTGGCCCAAGTTGGCACCATCATTGCGCTCTTCCCGGGCGAGGCAGATCAGTCGCCGGCTTCTGGACGGCCGCTCACTGTGGCTGCTGGCCGCTCACGCTGGCTGCTGGCTACATATGGTAGCCCGTGGCAACCCACTGCCACAGGGGCTGCAGCCTATGCCGTTGCCAGGGACTCACCGCAGCCCAGCTCCAGGTTGAGCTGTTGTTCAGCATCTTAGCTGTGGAGGGCAGTGTCACTGGCCCTCATATGTGGGATCCGAACTGGGGCCCTGTGGCGTCCCAAGCCAGCTCTTAACCAACGCGCCACTCGGCCGGCCCTAGAGCTTCTTCTGCTGGCCCTCCAGGCGTGCAGGGCAGCCAACATTCTGCCCCCTTGGCAGACCAACAAATAGACCCAGACTATCAGGGTAGGGTGGAAGAATGGGAACAGTTTCTAGAATCAGAAGGGCCTGGACTGGGGTCCTGGCTTTGCCACTTTGCAGCTGTGTGACCTCGGGCAGATGACTTCACCTCTCTGAACCTCGGTTCCCTCATCTGTAAAGTGGGCCTCCTTACCTTCCCAGGTTGTTGAGAGGAGCTATGAAATGTTCGCACAGTGCTTGCTTAGTGCAAAACCTGGCACGTAGCACATGACAATGAGGACAGCTGCCAGTGCTAGCATTCTTATTACTGAGAGCTAATGAGCCCAGCACATTGGCGCTGAGCTGGTCTAGAACCCTGGGCTCTGGCTCGTGGCCCCGTATACTTACACCAAACCCCACCCTGGATTCCCTGCATGACACACTATGTGTTCCAAGTCCCTGTTTTCCTGCCTCATTGGCACCTGAGTGGGGGTGATGGCATCATCCTGTCCCCCACCACTTGGCATCAGGTGGGGAACCCACGCAGCACAGCCTGCGCCTGAAGCAGATGGGAAAGTGAGGGGGAGGGGCAGTCATGTTCTTCTGATTCAGACACTGGGGTGGGGTGGGGGCCGCACACGATCCAATGAGCCCACCTCCTCCCTGGCCTTCCTGTTGGTAGCAGAGCTAAGTGGCTCTGACAAAAGAACAGCTTGTGTCCCCGCCTCCTTCAACTTACCCGTTTTCTCCTCAAAACAGTGTCTGTGTAAATAGCATTCCACGTTTTGTTCCTTCCTGGCAGGTCTTTCCCCCTCTGAGCGAGAAGGATGCTTTGATAGAGAGGCGGCGTTAGCTCCAGAGGCATCAGCTTTGCCCACCCCCATCGTTATAGAAAACTCAGAAGGACTTTTGCCTTGGTTTCCCCAGCTGTGAAATGGGGACACTAAGAGTGCCAACCCAAATGAGTGGCTGTGAGGATTCAGGATAAAGTGCCAAGGATGGGGCTGGCACACTGTCTCATTGAGATGTGTGCCCCGCATGCCACGCTGTAAGGAAGGAAACAGGACAGAAAGGTGCTAGACCTGAGGAGACCCTTCAAGCTTAGCCCACCTGCCCCCACTCTCTAACACCTCAGCTCCGGATCACGTCACTGTCCATGGTGGCAGTTCCCTTCTCTCAGGCACTGAGTGTGGCAGTGATACTCTGCCTATACTGCCCTCTCCACCTCCCAGCACTTTGAGTTAGGGGACACATTTTATCCACTCATCACATGGCTAGAAAACAGGTTCAGAGAGGCTAAGGGACCTGCCCAGTGTCACCCAGCAATTGACCAGCAAGATCAGGGCTGGGCCAATGAGGCCGAGGAGGGGTCTTCTGTACTTGCCCCAAAGCCTCAGGCCATCCGTGCGAGGCACAGGACACTCAGGAAATGTTAGGCTGCGCCCTTGGTTTTCTGTTTTGCCCTCATCTGTCTCTTCAGCACCTGACACAGGGCCCAGCCCGTAGCAGGTGCTCACTGAATATTTGCCCAGTGAAGGAATCAGAGTTCAGTGAGCTTAGGTCTGGGGCTAAGACTGCCAGCAGGGCCCAGGGCAGGTTGAGCGGGAACTGCTGGGCCCCTGGCGAGGGAGGAAGCATAGGGGACGGGGAAGGTCTAATTTGACTCCTAGAAGCTCATTGAATTATTAATTTCCTACTGATGTTCCCCTGACGTGTCTTCAGGGGCTGCCCCTTCCCAGCGTCTGGACTTGTGACCTCCTCTGTCTTCCTCCCCCTCGAATGGGCTTCCTCCAGCAGAGGAGGGGGAAGGAGAGGCCCCCTGGCTTCTGCCCCAATTGCGCCCACCGGGTTCTTAGAAAATGGGGCCTCTAAACATTTTGTCATCATCCTGGGCAAGACCGGGGTATCAGAGACCACCCTGGAACACTCTGCCCTAGACAATAATTGCAATAAACAGGCTCTGTTTGTTGGCACTTACCACTTAATTATCCCCACAAACCTTCTAAATAGGTACAGTTTTCCTATGTGGCATGTGAGAAAAACAGGGGTTCAGAGAGGTAAAGGCATTTGCTCAGGGTCACACAGCAGGTGTGACCTGGATTTGAACTGGATTTGAACCTTGAGCTGGATTTGAACCCTGGGCTGTCTGACCTTGTGATCTTAATTAACCATGTGCTGCTAGACACATTTGTTGCCTGAGGCTGGTATTGCCAGCCCCATTTTGCATATGGGGAAGCTGAGGCTTATCTGGGGTCACTAAGCAGGAGTGGTGGGGGTCTCTGCGCCCCATGTCCCTTTCCGTCCTCCCTCCAAGTGACCTCACTTGCCTCTTTCTCTGCCCTGTGAGCAGCAGGAGCTTCCAGCCCGTGTGAACTTCTCAGCTGCCCCCGCCCCCGCCCCTGCGGTGCCCACCGCCCTGCACTCCAAGATGGACGAGCTGGAGGGGCAGCTGCTGGCCAAGGTGCTGGCGCTGGAGAAGGAGCGCGTGGCCCTCAGTCACAGCAGCCACCGGCAGCGGCAGGAGGTGGAAAAGGAGTTGGACACCCTGCAGGACCGCATAGCCGAACTGGAGCACGGTGGGTCCTGGGCCCCACAGAGGGCATAGCAGGCGAGGCCTTGGTCCTCAGATGGGTCCTCAGGGTGGCTGATTCACTGGAAAAATATGCTTGTGCTCTCCAGAGGCTATAGCTAGAAAGGTGGGGAGGAGTCTGCGAAACACAAGAGGGAGAGACTAATTGGTGTCTATCATCATTATTATTGACAGTATTTTCTGGCACTGATTATATTCTGGGAGTGGGCTAAGTAGTTGACACATCAGTTGGTTTACTCTTAACAAACCACATGGTGGTATTGTTATTATGCCCATTTCACAGATAAGGAAACTGAAGCTCAGAGAGGTCAAGTGACTTACCCAAGGTCACATAGCCAGTAAGTAGTGGATCAGAATTTTGTCATTTGTTTAACACCTGGGCTTGGCACTGCCAAGGGTCAGAGAAATATGATGTAATGGACAGTGTACAGGTATGAGCATCAGCAGACCTAGCTCCTGGTTTCCCAGCTGTCACTGACTTGCTCTGTGACATTGGAAATTTGCTTTCTTTCCCCAGGCCTCATTTTCCTCATCTGAAAAATGGGGATTTAGGGCTCACGAGCTCTCAGGGACCTCTCATCTTTGAAACTTTGTGAAGACCACCCTTGAGAGGCTTAGGGACAAGTTGGGGATGCCAGGGAAAACCATGAGCAATTAGCGGGGACTGGCTGAGATTCGGGACTGGAGTTCTGGAGAAGGAAATCCAGGGGGCTTCCTGGAAGAGGTGGGCCTCAAGCTAGTCCTTGAAAGCAGAGGTGGAGAGTAAATTTTAGAGTAGAGGGGCCATAACAGGAACACAGCTGAAGGGGAGGCATGACCTAGCGGGTTCCAGGGCCAGCACCCTGGGACAAGAAAGGTTAGCACATCCCTGCTCAGTCCTGCCACGGGTCCCTCTACACTGTATCTCTTGAGGGACTGAGGGAAATGCCCCCTCAAGAGGCTGCAGGGCAGAGAGGGAGGCAAGCAACTAGGCTGGATGTCCCATCTTGGGACTCAAGTTTCTTATCTGTGGAATGGGTTGGAAGAGGCAGTCACTGAGCCCCTTCCTATCTTACCATGATGCACCACATCAGCTTTCACCCCCAGCCCTCAACCATCAGCTGGGGGAGAAGGGCTCCTACCCTGGAGGTGTGTGTGGTAGGTATTATCCCCTCCCCTTGGAGGCAATGACTCCCCAATCTACCCCCTGCAGAGAGCCCTCTGATATTCAAGACATACTTAGAGAGTCCGCAGAACTCGGAGCAGGAAGACACCTTGGAGAACAGGGAGTCCTATGATTGTCTTGTTCAAATCCCAGCTCTGCCACTTACTAGCTATGTGGCCTTGAGAAGATTACTTAATCTCTCTTAATGTTACCTATAAAATGGAGATTATAATAGTGTGTACATACCTCATAGGGTTGTTACCAGATTGAGTGGGGTAATGTATGTAAAAGTGCTTAGAACAGTGCCTGGCGCATCGAAAGCACTGTATGGTGCTTGTTAAATAAATAGGCAAAGAACCCTAAAATACGATGATAACAATAGCTGACATTTGTTGAGCATCTACTATGAGCCAGGCCCTTTACATAATTTGTCCCACTCAATCCTCACACAACCCTGGGGGGGAAGATATTATTACCCCATTTCACTGAGGAAACTGAGGCTCAGAGAGGGTAAGATGAACTTGTCGAAAGTCACGTGACTGGGAAATGGTGGAGACAGGATTTGAACTCAGGATGTCTCAGGTCCACAGCCCTTGGGCTCTAAACCACAGCCCTTAACAGAGAGACAGCGGAGAGAAGGCCATGAAAGCACCCAGGACCTAGCAGGTGCTCAGGGACTAGTAGTCCCCCCGTCTGGAGGGTGCCCTGCCTGCCCCACCCTCGACAATGTCCACTGACCCCCACCGTGTCTGCCTTGCTTACCCCCCTCAGGGTCCTCGGCCTACAGCCCCCCCGATGCCTTCAAGATCAGCATCCCCATCCGGAACAACTACATGTATGCCCGCGTGCGGAAGGCGCTTCCTGAGCTCTACGCCTTCACCGCCTGCGTGTGGCTGCGGTCCAGGTCGGGCGGCACTGGCCAGGGCACCCCCTTCTCCTACTCAGTGCCGGGACAGGCCAACGAGATTGTGCTGCTGGAGGCGGGCCATGACCCCATGGAGCTGCTGATCAACGACAAGGTCAGTGGGGGTGGGCAGAGCCGGAGGGATGGGGGCAGGAGCACCGCACTGCGCTGCGCCCCACACATGTGGGCCTTTCAGTTCTCCCGTTCAGTGTATTCAGTACGCATGCCATGCCTCCTGTGTGCCAGGCTGGGTTCTGGGAACACAAAGGCACACAAAAGACCTGGGGCTGGCTAGAGAGGGGCTCGTGTCCAGGAGGGGCTGTGAGTGTGGTGTTCCCATTTACAGGGGAGGCATGTGAGGCTCACAGATTCCGTGACTTCCCCAGTGACCCAGCTCTAAGAGCAGGGCTGGAAGTGTCTGCCCTGGGGCCCTGCTCATTCTCCTGGGTGAAGAGAGAGGTTCAAGGACCTACCTAAGGAGGGGCTCCTCCCAAGACCCACCAGAACCCTGCTCAGCAGGAGGGGCCTTTTGTGGGTGTCCTGGAGGAGGAGGAAGGAGATGGACCCAGGGATCAGGGAATTTCTCTTGTGGCCCAACAGTTCCTAAGAAGACCTAGGAAGCCGGGTTACATCTAGATCCTGCTTGCTGGTTCCCTTCATACACCCCCTGGCTGCCATCCTTGGTTCTGCCCAAGTTCAGCACTCAGTACCTAGTAGAAGAAATTCAGCACGCTGGACAGGGCACACAGCAGCCCAATTCCGGGAACCTCTGGCGTCCTCTTGAGCGCCAACCTCACAGGCTACTCACAGTTCCCCTGTTATTCCAACCTCTAAGCCTTTGCCCCTGCTGTATCCTCCACTTGGTTTCCTTGCAGTGGAATGGTCAGAGTCCATTGTCCTTCCAGTTTTAGTGTTTAGACTCCATGTCTTCCCTTCCCACATCCCCCTCTTCCTCTGGGCCATTACCACCTCTGAACCTCCCCAATGGCCCCTGTGCTGTTTTGTCTTGTAATATTGTCCCTGAAGTCCTTCCCACCTGTGCAGACTCAGCTCATTTACAGCTAGGACCAGATTCATATCCCCAGCGTCCAGATCAAGGCCTGGCACCAAGTAGGCCTCAGAGAATGTTGCATTAAATTGTGATCTCAGAGAACACAGGACATGAGAGAGCCCTTCGGGAGCCCCAGATCCTCAGGCAGCAAGCACCTTTCATTTCACAGGCCAGTGCTAATTAATCAGCAGTGGCCTCCGAGAGCACCGTGATGAGAAGGATTCTGAGGCCGAGTCTAGGCTCGTGATTGATTGGCCATGTCTGCCTTGGGCGGGGCAGGCAGAGGTGGCTGCGTATTAATATACCATTCCTTCCTGACCTCCTCCCTTTATACACGAGGAAACCGAGGCCAGGGAGGAAAGGGCAGCTTCCCCAGGGTCCCACAGGGGAAGAGCCACGGCTGGATGCCAGTGCCCCGCCTCTGAGGCCAAGGCCTGTTCCGCCACCACCAGTACTTCTGGTGCCCAGCTGTGTGCCAGGCACTGTGTGAGGAGGCATTCAGGGGAAGGTAGGACTGGAGATGCGGCTCCCGCCCCCCGTGACCTTACAGGCCTGTGAGAGAGTGAATAAACTACCTGGAAACAACTGAAAACCAGCACTAACTAGTCCCCGTGATCCGAGTGAAGCTGCCTGGTTAGGTCATGGGGAAAGCGGAAAGAGGGGTGGGAAAGACACTGAGCTGGGGGGAAGGGGAGGGTCAAGCCGTGGGTCAGTCCCTGGAAGGAAGGACATGGGTGTCCTGGTCCCCCACCCCTCTGCTCCACCCTTGAGTCTTGGGACCTCTGACCTGGGGTTGGGGGACCTGTTTCCAGGTGGCCCAGCTGCCCCTGAGCCTGAAGGACAATGGCTGGCACCACATCTGCATTGCCTGGACCACAAGGGATGGCCTGTGGTCTGCCTACCAGGACGGGGAGCTGCGGGGCTCCGGTGAGAACCTGGCTGCCTGGCACCCCATCAAGCCTCATGGGATCCTTATCCTGGGCCAAGAGCAGGTAAGGCTCAGAGCGATGTTGGAGCTTGAGGCCCAAGTAGATGTCCCACCCACCCAGGGCCCCTGAGGAGGAGGGGCTAGGTGGAGGGACCCTGGAAGCACAGCAGTGATCACTCAGTCTGACCCAGCCCTTCAGCAGATGGTCAGGCAGACTGAGACCTAGAGAGACCAGAGAACTGCCCACGGGGCTAGAACCTGAGGGGCGGGGCTGGAACCATGGGGGCAGGGCTTCAGCTGGGCCCGGGGCCTGCCTCTCTGAGTCTGACTGCCTATCTTTTCTGCTCCCTTACTCCATGTCTCTCTCCTTGCTGTCTGCTGTCTTGCTCCAGGATACCTTGGGCGGCCGGTTTGATGCTACCCAAGCCTTCGTGGGTGACATTGCCCAGTTTAACCTGTGGGACCACGCCCTGACACCTGCCCAGGTCCTGGGCATTGCCAACTGTACTGGGCCACTGCTGGGCAACGTCCTCCCCTGGGAAGACAAGCTGGTGGAGGCCTTCGGGGGTGCAACAAAGACCACCTTCGATGTCTGCAAGGGGAGGGCTAAGGCATGAGGGGCTACCTCATCCAGGCCCCCCCTTGCCTGCCCATTTGGGGACCTTACAGGAGGGGGGGCACGTTCCCTCCTCAGCCTACCCACACTGCCCCCCTCGCCCCCCCGCCTCACTCCTGGCCATGCCTCTCATTTCCCCACCTACACCCATACCTCCTGAATGCCCTGCCCTGCGATGCCTGTCCCCTGATCCCACTTGGATGGGGACAAGCAGCTCAAGTCAACAGGTCATGCCTGGGGTGAGTCCAGGGCCTTACGGGGGTGGGTAGCAGTGCCCATGGCTCTGCCCACCCTCCTGGTGTTGTAACAGCACCATCTCTTACCCCCACCACACCCTGTTCCATCAACCACACCTGATTCCACGGATCTCAACAGCATCTCCCATGGGGTAGTGTATGGGGGAAGGGCCCCTATCTCAGTGGCAGGGGCGGGCCATCTGTCCACCCCGACCCCCATGCAATAGGCCTGGCCCCTCCCCCTTCGGGGCCACAACAGTCTGTGTAGCTGTTTCCCCAGCTGAGAAGAGACATAGGAGACTCAGACTCACCCCTCCTCCATCTGTCCACCAGCTGACAGTCAAGGGCAGTGGGCTCTTGATGGAGCCTCTCCCCCACATCCCCACCCCACCCACACCCACACCCACACCCTCTGTCTTCCCCCTCTTTCCTCGTTTCTTTGTGTGCAGCGGGTTGAGTGTTGGTTCCATGCCTATCCCAGCCCCACCTCAATTTCCAGGACATTCCCTTCCTCCCCGCCCCCCCCCCCAGCTCTGGCCTGGAGAGTTAGGGACCAAGACCCCAGGAGGCCAAAGGGCCATAATCACCCCTTGTGCCCACCCACCGCTGTGCCCACTGCTGGCATGGTCACCTCTGTGGCCAGGACAAGGCCTGGGCCGCTGAGCTGGGAGCAGCATGAGGCAGAGGCACTGTGCCCCAGAGGACCCAGGCTCTGGCAGAGCCACGTCACCTATACCCTCTGCATGGCTCTGCAGCCTCTGGGGAAGGAAGGGAGCTGAGTGAGCAGGGAGAAGCATGGAGTGTGTGCAGAGCACTGAGTACGGAGGAGGGGCCTCTGGCTCCTAGCCAGCCCGGGCCTTCTATAAGTCCCTGCCCTCTCTGGGCCGGCCTTCCTCATTTGTGAACTGAGGCCTTTGCTTTGGTTATTCCTGAGCTCTTCAGACCAAAGGTGAGATGGTCTGTGATTCCAGGTGGATAAGATGGGCAAGGCTGAGGACTTCCCTCGGGACTGAGGGGCAGAGCAGGGATAGGTCCTAGGACTGGGCCGCAGGTGGGATCTGGCTAGGCACGGGTCACAATCAGCAGTGGCTACAGAGTCAGGCAAGGGCAAGAGGCAAAGCAGACTGACCTCATGCACAGATTATAAAATCAGCTTTTCTGGATCCCCCCAGCCTGGTACTCTCGCCTGTCTGAGCGTGTCTCAAAGGCTGGTGGCTCCCTGGTCCCCACGCTTAAGTCTTCACCAGCTCCCCCAAGAGAGTGGAAGAATGTCAGAGCTGAGAAAGCCACCCAGTCTGACTCCTTACTTGTACAGATAGGGAAGAACTCAGAGAGGGCAAATGACGCCCAGGATCACACCGCACAATGGGGCAGAGCCAGGAATGGAAAGCACCCAGGACTCGGACTCCCTCCTCAGTGTTCTCCTCCCCATACCGTACCGCCTATGAGGGTCTCTGAGCCCAGCCTACACCTAGAGGATGGACATTTGAGAGGTCAGAATGCTTTTCAACATGACCACTGGAATATCCTCCTTTATGAAACACACGTCTTAGCATCCCCTCTCTCCTGGGAGGTGTGACCCCCAGGCACTCTGGCAGGAATGGAAAGCTGAGAACACAGGTGTCTGGGCAGCTGCAGGCTACCGGACTCGAGTGGGCTCTGGTGCTTTTTGTCCTCCTTTTTGTTCCCTGCCTCTGCCCCCCATGGTCGCTTAGTCTGAGGCCTAGTACAAGAGCTGCAGGCTGTGGGCCCGTGCTACGGAGGTTTCTCTGAGATGCTGCCTCCAGCCCCCACATCCATTTCCATTTCAAGAGCACCTCCGGCCCAAGTCCCCCTAGAAGAACCTATAAGAAGGAGCAATGGCGTGCTTCAGCCAGAACCTGTTGAGATCTAGGTTGCCCTGGTAACAGCCAATGACATCAACCCAAGTGCTGGGTCAAGCATCTCATACACTGTTGCTGGGGTGATGGCAGAATTTGGAACTTAGATTTCAGGGACACTGGACACTGGGCTTTATTAGGTTTCTATTTTTGTTTTTTAAGGAAGCAGCTTTTGTGGAGGCCTTGGGGAAAATGGGGGGAGGGGGCATTACAGGACTTGTTCATTCACTTGAGCTCATCCAGGCATTGTCCGGAGTCCTTTATGCTTTGTTATGGTGATGATGAGACTTCTGACGTTTGTGCTGAATGATCTTAGCCCTCCAAAGAGAACAGGAACAAGTTGGAGATGTTGGAGTGTAGGCTCTGAGTCTGGACCATTGATGAGTGGCCTGGACCCCCATTTCCATTCCAGGAAAATGCAAACCCCAAAGTCCCCATCACTCCTTCATCCATTTGCCAGGTGCCTGCTGTTTGGACTCCAGCTTTGATCTTCAGCTGCTCCAGGGCACAGCCGAGAAGACAGGGGAAGAAGGTCTAGAGATGGTGCTGGGGTGCGTCCCTGAGCCGCTCCTATCTAATAGCAATGCTGGAGCCCATGTTTATTTTACATCCTTTATAAGTGTCAGGCACTGTGCTCAGCGCTCCATGGGCATCATGTCGTTTATCCTCACAACACAGTTAGTTATAAACTAGGACTATTCTTAGCCCTATTGGATACAGAAGGAAACCGGGGCACAGAGAGGTTAAGTAACCTGCCCAGTATCAATCAGCCAGCAAGTGATGGAGCCCAGAGTTCAAACCAAGGCAGGTTACATTGAGGGCCCACCCCTCAGCCCAAGGGGACAGTCACCCCCACTCTGTGGAGTGGCATTTGGGCATCATTGCTCCTGGTGTGTTTTGGCCTGAACGGATGTGCCTAACCCCATTCACCACCCCACAGAGTTTGAGGTGGAGGAACAGAGGCATGGGATGGGCCAGCCCCAGGGCAAGGGTCCCTTTGGGTGAGGCTGTGGGAGGGATCTCAGTCCCTTCAGGAAATGCGTCCCTCTGCAGTGTGCCCACCACTTCAGCCCTTCTCTACTGGCTAGAGCTTCCAGGAAAGCGGAAAGGGAAGGTGGACTGTCTCCCAAGAGCTCCAGGCCAGGGAGGGGTGGAAACATGTCAGACTCCTGCTTCGGGCCAAGCCCCGCCCCAGGTGCTTTGCAGCTCTTATCTGCCAGATTTTCCCACCTTTGTGGCATGTTGTGTCCCTAGTCAACCTCCCAAGGGGACAGATCACCTTGCCACAATTGTATATGACCTCGGACCACAGATTTCTACAGAAGGGCGCTTAGAGGGGGTCAAAGCCCTCGTTTTATAGATGACACGAGGGCCCATGGAACGTGGTTGGCCCCAAGGGACACCAGGAGACCTGAACCCAGCCTGCTGACTGTTCAGTGCTCTCTGCTGCGCAGTGGCCCTCTCTCCCTCCTCCCAGAGACGGGATCATTTTCTCCGCCCCCTTTATCTCAGCTGCCTGCCACCCCAAACCCCACATCCCCCATGACCCTTGACCCCTGACCCTGCTGAGTGGAGACGGGCCTCACGTGGACCCAGGCTGAACAGCGAGCAAGCATGTCTAGCTGTTGGACACTGAAATGAGTACACCCTACTGGCAACCCACCCCCCTCTTCTCCTCGCCTGATTTTGTACATACTGTGACATGAGATACAATGTATGTGTATGTGGGTGTGTATGTGGGTGTGGGTGTGTATGATATGTCATGGATTTTGTTACTTTTTTGTTTTTGTAAAGTTGAATGTTCACAATAAACATGATGTTTACTCTGAGGCTCTTCTTGCAAGGCTGGGCCTACACTGGGGGGGCGCCAGGCAAGAAGGAGGCTGCTATTAGGGCAAGGCAGTAGGCCAAGACAGGGGAAGTGCCACCTTGGTGCCCCAAAGCCTCAGCCGACCCCACCTGTCCCCCCAGCCTGACAGGTTGTGTCAGCCCTGGGTGCTCATGCAGCCTGTTTCCCAGGATTCCTGCAGGAAGGATATAAAGAACACAAATCCCACGTGGAAAGTGTCCCAGTTCTGGTAACTGGGCTTTGACCTCATTCCTAACACCCCATCCCTACCTCATGCCCCAGTTCTGGTAACCAGGTCCCTGGATTGTTCCCAGAGATCCAATCCACCTGAGTCACTTGCCTGGACCCCCAGAGTGGTGCCTCCCTTGGAGTCCTGGGGAGACTGGGCAGAGGAGAGAAAGGGTTCTTGTTGTAGTTCAACCTGTCCCCGCCCCATGGTCTACCGGACACCTCTGACTTGCTTGGCTTCTAGACTGGACTCTCTGGCGGTCCCCCCCCACCCCTCCAGTGCCCACCTGTCCCTGGGAGGCCTTAATCTAGTCCCCAGCCCTCCCTGTCCACACCATCTCAGGGGCACAGCTTCCACCCTCCTGCTCCATCAAAAGTGTCACTGCTCTTAGTTGGCTCTTGTCCTCAGATGGCCTTTGTGAAATGCCAGGGGGCCAGTCAGGGGTCAAGGGGTCACTCCAGCAAGACAAGCCTTCCCAGACTTTCCCAAAACTGCCCAACTTCCAGCAAGAGTGAATTCACCCCATGAGGACCAGAGGTATTTCTGGAAGCGGCACTTCAAACAGGAAAACCATATTGAAGTCTACTGAGTGACCTGAAAATTTCACGTGCTTTCTGCATTCTACTCCAGAATGAATCCAGGTTTGTTTTAAAATATTGTTTTTAATGACTTACCACTGAGCAAAGTTAAGCTGCAGGCAGCTACACCTTGTTTATCCTCTCTTGCACTGATTTACTTACAAACACCCTCTCTCCCTCTGTCCCCCTCAGCTGGCAATGTTCAACCCTGGTTAACTCCCGCCGTCACCTGCTTCCTGCCAGCACCTGCACAGCTGAACGCTAACGTGGAAAAGCACAGGCTCTGATGTGTGTTGACTTCATTTTAAATTCAAGGCCAGAGATCTCTGAGGGGTGTTTCTCCCTGCCCTGCACTCAGCCCACTCTCCTTGTGTGAGGGCTTGCTCTCCAAAATGGCTACAAATCAGACCCTCTTTCTCTTCAAGCCTCCTACAGCCCCCTACCCCCATCCCTGCACACTCAAGGGTAACCGTACCTCATAATCCATTGAGGAAAGGAAGCAATCGTCCCCTTGCCACCAGGTCTGTCTACAAACCTGCACTGTCGCCACACTCTCTGGCTTCCCTCCTGCCACTCGGAGCGAACTGTGCCTGCTCCTGTCAGGGGCACTTGTGTACTGGGCCCCATCCTGCCCCTGCTCTTATTAGAGGCCCCATCCCCCTCGCCTTCTCAAGGTCATCTCTCCTGAATTTCCAGCTTCTCCTTGTCACCTTCGTCATGCCAATGGGCATGCGAATTTACCCTGGTGTCTCCTCAAAATCCCCCACCCCGAGCCAATATCCTCCTCCAGCTATCACCCCCTTCTTTGCTCTTTTTCACTAGAAGGACTCACAGAACTCAGAAAAGCTGTTATACTCCCAGTTATGGTTTGTTATATAGAAAAGATACAGATTTTAAAAAAGCGAAGGAAAAGGCACACAGGGCAGAGTCCGGGAGAGGCCAGGAGCAAGCTTCTAGCTGTTTCTCCCAGTGCAGTTGTATGGACAATGTTTTATTCTCCCACCAATGATGTGTGGCACAGGTACAGGAAATTGTCAACCAGGAAAGCTCACCTGAGCCTTGGTGTCCAGGGTTTGTACTGGGGGTCAGTCACATAGGCATGGAGCCACCCACACGAGTGACCTTAACTTCCCAATCTCCATCAGAGGCCTAACTGATACAGCATGACCCAGGGTCCCAGGCACACAAAAACAGGCATTTTCCATATGTCATTTCTTTTCAAGAAATTTTATTGGGGAACAGTGTGTTTTTCCAGGACCTATCAGCTCCAAGTCAAGTAGTTGTCTTCAACCTAGTTGTGGAGGGCACAGCTCAGTGGCCCATGTGGGAATCAAACCGACTACCTTGGCGTTATCAGCCTGCACTCTTAACCACCGGCCAACCCCCATATGTCGTTTCTTTAGCATAAACTCTGTAATATGGTGCAAGACACACAAAGACATGCTTATCAGGAAGGATATTCCAAAGGCTCAGAGCTTATCTGCCAGGCGCTGGCCAAGGCCCAGTCCTTCTTCAGCATGTACAGGCTTTGAGCACCTGAGTTACCCCTTCACTGCACATTGGGTCTGTAGTGTTTGTTGCCACTTTCTTTTATTCACTCCTTGGCCAGTGCCCACTCCTCTGCTGTCCCCACCACTCCACCGAGATCACTGTTGTCAAGGCCAGCAATGACCTCCATGTCACAAAACCGCACGGCCGGACCTCGGTCCTCCTCAGAGGTGAGCTCTCAGCTGCATTTGACATATAGTTAACCATTCTTCCCTCCTTGAAAGCTTGACTGTAAATGGGTAATTACATTCAATATAAAAAAGATAAATGTTCCAGTTAAAACATTAATATTGTCAACTGAATTTTAAAATAATTATATAGAAAGGTGAAATTAAAATGGATAGAAAAATATATACTACACAAACACTAATTCAAAGAAAGTTGGTGTAGCTATTCTTAGTTCAAAGTAGACTTTAAAATAAGCACTGTTAGAGAGAAAAGGGGCATTTCATGATGATAAGGAGTCAATCTCTTAGGAAGATATAACAATTATAAATTTGTGTGCCTGCATTAACACAGCTTCATGATATATAAAGTAAAAACTGACAGAACCAAAAGGAAAAACGGGCAAATCCACAATTGTATTGGGGTATCTTAACACATCTCTCTCAATAACTTATAAGGATAGCAGATTAAAACTTCAGTATGAATATAGAAAAGTAGAACAAAATGATTCATAAACTTGATCTAACAGAGCAACTACAGAATAGACACTTTTCAACTACACATGAAAATTTCACCCAAACTGACTATGGTAGGTAGAATAATGGGCCCCCAAAGATGCCTACATCCTGGCCCCCAGAACCTGCAAATGTGTTATGTCACGTGGCAAAGGGAAATAAGGCTACAGATGGAATTAAGGTTGCTAATCAGATGACCCTGAGATAAGATTAACCTGGATTATCTGGATGAACCAATATAATCACAAGTGTCAGATGTGAAAGAGGGCGGTGGAAGAGTCTAGATCAGTGGTTCTCAACCTTCCTAATGCCGCGACCCCTTAATACAGTTCCTCATGTTGTAGTGACCCCCCACCATAAAATTATTTTCGTTGCTACTCTATAACTGTCATTTTGCTACTGTTATGAATTGTAATGTAAATATCTTTTTGTTTTCCGATGGTCTTAGGCGACCCCTGTGAAAGGGTCGTTCAACCCCCAACGGGGTCGCGACCCACAGGTTGAGAACCACTGGTCTAGATGTTGGAAAAGGGAAGGAAATAGCTTCCCCTACGGAGAGCCAAAGGAAGGAACGCCGCCCTGGGGACACCTGGATTTTAGCTTACTGAGGCCCATTTCAGACTTCGGACTCCAGAACTGTGAGAGAATAAATCTATGTTGTTTTGAGCCACTGTAGGCTGAGTCTTGGGGACTGGCAAGAGCCGAGTCTGAGAAGTAGGGTGGGAGGGTAGGACCCTATTCCCGTCCTGCATTCACTCATACATTCATTCATGAAACATTTACTAAGCACCTATTCTCTGCTAGATCCTGTGTGGAACCCAGGGACGTAGAGATGAATAGGACAAGGTCCTTGCCCTCAAGGAGCTCACAGGGGGAGTGGTAAATTAAACTCAAGTACAAAACAGTGGAGAAGGGCAGTAGCAGGAACATACCCCAGGTGAGATGAGCACAAAGGACTCTTCTAGTTGCAAGGAATCCCAATGTGTACAGGCTTTGACCAAAAGCGCATATGAGCTCACATACCCAAAGGAGGGGAGGGAAGACGGAGGATGTGGGTAAAGAGGATGTGTGAGCAAAGGCAGGGAGGTGAGAAACAGCATGGAGTGTGTGGAGGACCATGAGAGATGGCATAAAGCACAGGGGAAGAAGCAGCAAGGAGACAAAGCCACCCACAGGCCACACCATGGGGGCCTTGAATGCCAGGTGACAGCATCGCATATCACCTGGTAGGTAATGGGGAGCCGTGGAGGGAGGGAAGGATTTGTTAAAGAGAAGGATGCAGTGGTGAAATTCGGGTTTTAGCAGGATCACAATGACTGTGGTTTGGAAGACGGGCAAGGCTGTAATCAGGGAGTCCCGTTAGAAAGTTGTTGCAATAATACAGATGGGGTCATGGTGCTGTGCACATGGGGAGTGCCATGAACGTGGTCAGAAGGAGCTGTAATCAGGACAAAGTGAGGAGTCGGAATCGGCAGGCTGGTGATTGACAGGAGGTAGGAGATGGTGGGGAAAGTGTGAAGGATGAGAGAGTCCCTGGTTCCTGAGGGAGGCAGCTGGGTAGGTGGTGGTGCCATTTACTGAGGTGGGATGCAGGGAGAGAAGTCTGGAGGAAGATGATCAATTCATTTTGGGACACATTGAGTTTGAAAGGCTTGTGGGGAAGTGTGAGCAAGGGAAACTCTTGCTGATGCGAAGGTGACCTAGGGTGAGAAGAAACTTGAGACCATTGGTGAGAAGAAAAGAGGGCCAACATGGGCACAGAGAGCAAAGGAAGAAGAGCCCAAGAAAGCCAAAAGGAAGAGAGGTTCAAGGAGATCCAGGAGCGTGAGGGGCCCTCGGCTGTTAAGATAGAGCAGTGATGGGCCGGCCGAGTGGCACGTTGGGTAAGAGTTGGCTCAGAACACCAGCTCTGAGCAGCAGGGCCCCAGATCGGAACCCACATGAGGGCCAGTGATGCTGCGCTCTCTACAGCTAAGATAGTGAACAACAGCTCGATCTGGAGCTGGGCTGCCATGGGTTGCTGGCGACGGCGTAGGCTGCAGTGGGGCTGGCCTGCAGCTGGCGTGCACTTTCATGAGCTGCCGGGAGCCGCCGGGAGCGGCAGTCCAATGGCCAGCGAGCGACTGCCTCTCTGGGGAAGAATTCAATGATAACACCAACATGGGCCAGTGAAGCGATGCCCTCCACAACTAGACTGAAGAACAAAAAGGACAGCAACTTGTCTGTTCCCCTTCCCCGATTCCCCAATAAAATCCAAAAAAAAAAAAAAAAAAAAGATAGAGCAGTGATTCTCAACTGTGAGTGTGCACCGGGTGCTTGTGAAAACTACAGGTTTCTGCTGTTTACCATTCTGATGCCTTGGGAACCTGGAATCTGCATGGTAAAGAGTTCTGCAGGCACTACCTCTGGGGTAGAGAATTTCATGAAGATGGATGTGGTCGGCCGGCTTATGCCAGCAGAGAGGATGGGCCCAGGAAAATAAAGACTAAACGGGTCTATTGGATTTCGTTCTTCGGGAGGTCACTGGTAACCATGGAAGAGCGAATTTTGGTGGTATTGTGGGAGTGGAAACCAGATTGCAGTGGGCTGAAGAGTGAATGGGAGGTGAGAAAGAGAAGACAGCAAATGTGGACCCCTTTTAGAGAAATTTGGATGCGAGGCGGAGGCAAGAGCTTCATCCCCCACAAAGGCCACCTCCCATCTCCTGGAGAAAGTTGGCAAAGAGATTTCGGGAAATGTGGAAGTTGAGTCAGACATTCCCCCGACCCTCAGAATGCACCAGGGGGCCGGCCGAGTGGCGTGATGGTTAAGAACTCGCTTGGGATGCCAGAGGGCCCCGGTTCGGATCCCACATATGAGGGCCAGTGACACTGCCCTCTACAGCTAAGATGCTGACCAGCAGCTCGACCTGGAGCTGGGCTGCCGTGAGTCGCCGGCGACGGCGTGGGCTGCAGTCCCTGTGGCAGTGGGTTGCCATGGGCTACCGTGTGTAGCCAGCAGCTACCGTGTGTAGCCAGCAGCCAGCGTGAGCGGCCAGCAGCCGCAGTGAGCGGCCGTCCAGAAGCCAGCGACTGATCTGCCTCGCCAGGGAAGAGCGCAATGATGGTGACAACTTGGGCCAGTGAAGCAACGTCCTCCACAACTAGATTGAAGAACAAAACGACAGCGACTTGTCTGTTCCCCTTCCCCCAATTCCCCAGCACTATTCCCATTCCCGCAATTACCCAATAAAAATCTTTAAAAAAAAAAAAAAAAGAATGCACCAGGGAGGCAAGTTGGCAATTGGCAATGGCCTAGCACACCTCAAGCTGCCAAGTCTCAAAACTAAGCCCACTGTATCTGCCTTCTGTCTACCCACTCTAAGTCCAGTCACCATCTTCACCACCTGAGTCATCTTTCCATAACCCAAATCTGACCATGTCATTGCCAGACGTGAAACCCTCAAGCAGTTACCTCCCCCACTCTCACCTAACCTCAAGTCCCTGAACCTGGCGTTTAAAACCCTTCTGACTCTTGGGGTCCCTACTTGCCTCTGAATCTTTACCTCCACCCTTGTCACCATAACCTCCCACTTACACCATAATTCACCGCCCACCCTGGCCTCACGGAGCCACCAGCACTTCCCCAGTGAACTGTGCCTCCACCCTCACCAGTCTACTGGTCCTGTTAGACTTGGCCAGCTCAAGCACCACCTCCTCTGAGAGTTAGTTACTCCCTCTTTGGAGAGAACCAGCACGTTGCCCACACCTTTACCAGAGCAAAGGTAGGATGGATTATTTGTTCATACGGATGTCCCCACACTGGATTGGGCTTTCTCTGGGACCGAGGTGCTCATCTGACTCCTCTCTGAATCACCAGCACCTGGCTGAGTTCCCAGTAGTTGCCAGTGAACGTGATGTGGGGTTTCACCTGAGTACCCATCATGAGAAAACAAATGTTTAAATTACGGAGTACCCACTGATCCTTCGATCCACCAAAAAATAATTACATTTGCAGGTTCTTCTCCTTTCCCTAGTTGTATTAATACCTTCAGATTAGTTTTCCCTCCTAAGTGGAAGAAAAGGCAGGCTCCGGACAACCTTGTTTTGAAGTTAGACAGTACAATATCTCCTATGGAGCAGGACCTCCAGTGGAGAGAGCAACTGGATTCAATCTCAAGGAGCTTTACCCTGATTTTTAAAGTGAATTAGCCTCTTTGAACCTTAGTTAAGAATACTATTACCTAAAAGAATGGTGGTCAGAATCAGGTGAGACATCATTGTGAAAGCCCTACATAAATGCTAGTTATTATTAGGCTTTTGAGATCCTAATAAAACAGCATCTCAGGGCCGGCTGAGTGGCGCGCTGGTTAAGTGCTGGCTTGGGACGCCAGAGGGCCCCGGTTTGGATCCCACATATGAGGGCCAGTGACACTGCCCTCCACAGCTAAGATGCGGAACAACAGCTCAACCTGAAGCTGAGCTTCCGTTAGTCGCTGGCGACAGCATAGGCTGCAGCCCCTGCTGCAGTGGGCTGCCATGGGCTACCGTGTGTAGCCAGCAGCCAGCCACCATGAGCAGCCGTCCAGAAGCCGGCGACTGATGTGCCTCGCCTGGGAAGAGCGCAATGATGGTGCCAACTTGGGCCAGTGAAGCAACATCCTCCACAACTAGACTGAAGAACAAAAGGACAGCAGCTTGTCTGTTCCCCTTACCCCAATTCCCCAGCGCTGTTCCCATCCCCCAACGCCCCAATTAAAAAAAAAAATTTAAAAAAAACAACAAAAGAAATCCAGCATCTCAGTCTCACCACACCAACCAATTGCATTTGTTATTTCAAATGACTAAAAAAAAACCTCTCAAGGCAATACTGCTCTTTAAAGTTTGTTTCTCTGAAGTGAGAACTTCTGTATGTCCCAGGCTCCGCAGGCCCACTTAAGACGACTATAAGTGAAGCCCCTCCTCCCTAGCCTCTAAACCACGCCCCTTTCCGTACAGACCTCTACGTTGTAGGGCCCTTCAACATTGAAGGACAATTTTTTTCACCAATAAGAAGTGAAATTTTTGTCAACGTCCGGTGAGGGGGCAGGACTTCCTTGCTGTTGCTAAGACACTCTTGTTTTGCTCCTTGACAACCCTGGCGGGGGTGAGCTAGCTGCGGCCTCGGCTCCAGCACCCGCGGGAGCAGGTGAGGCCACGGGGCGCGGCGGGCAGCGGGGTGGGGAGGGCCGGCCCGAAGAGGAGCCGGGAAGCATCGCAGGGTGGGCGGGGCCTCGCCCACCGCGGAGGCCCCACCTCAGTCTCCTCCCTGCTGGTCCCCAGCCCCAGGTCCTCTCAGCCTGCACCCCCCCACTTAGGGGACCTGCGAGCTCTGTCGTAACATATTTGCCGTTGCGACTCTACAGGCCGCTTCTCTCCCCTTCCCCACCTGAGGCCCTGTCCATCCTCCCTGACTCGACCCCTCGCCCCACCAGCACCTTGTTTCCCCCCATCTTTCGCAGAGTAATTCCCCCCCTTCCGGCGGCTAGGTCGGTGGTCTCCAGAGCCTAGGCCCAGACTTCTTGACTTGGACAGCAGGCGACTTGCTGGGACTCCAATCTGGTTATTTCCCTCTTTGGGCGTCAGTTTCTCCATCTGTAAACGAGAAATTGGATTCAATGATCTCTAAAGGCCTCTTTGACGCTGACATTCTAGGATGTGATTCTTTGACCCAACTGTAGGCTTCCCCCAGGATGTGCTTCCCATTGGAGGAATCCGGTGTAGTGAACAGAAGTTGACAAACCTGATTTGGGATTCCCAATTGTAGGACCCCAGAGAGTTAACCTAATCTCCCCGGGGGGCTCCCGTCTGTGCGCGTACAAGATCAGGATGCTACGGAGCGTCTCCTTTGGGAATTCTAAGGATAATACGAAGTATAAAGAGTCCAGCCCGGTGTACATTCAGTATTTGTTACTTTCCTTCCTTTGTCTCTTTCTCTCCCCCACACTTTACCCTCAGAAGTGTCACCAGCTTCCTTAGTGTGAGCTGTCATTTCTCCACTTGACCCTCAAATCCAGATCTGCAGCTCTGATGGAGTCCCCGGGTTGGGATACTTCGGGACGTGGGTGTGACGGGGCTTCCCTCCTTCCCCTGCTGATCCATGATTTGGTGATGACGGACTCCTGATGAGACACCTCATTTGCATAGCTCACCAGCAAGTGAAACTCAGTAGTTCTAAAATTAAACTGGCCTACTTTCTGCCTATCTATCTACCCTCCCGACTTCCCCTGTCTCCCTCAGTGGCATCACCATCCTCCTGGGATATCATCTGTCACTCTGCCATGCCCACCCCACTCAGGCAGTTGTCAAGTTTCTTTGATTCTGCCTCCACAAGGATCTCACATTCTCTCCACTCTGTAAGCCACCGCCCTGGTTCAAGTCTTTAATGCCTGTTACCCGGCCCATTGCTGTAGCTTTGTAACTGGTGTCCCTACCTCAGGTCCCTCCTCCTGTTAGCTCAGTTATATTAACCAGAATAATTGCCCCAAAACACAACCATGTCACCAACCCCCAAGAGTCCTCCAAAGGGCTTCTCATTCCCCACTAAAAATATCCACACTTTTTGCGGGGAACAGCCATGGTCATTGGTTACACATTGCTTTCATGCTACAATGGCATAGTTGACTCTTTGGGAGGGCAAAGCTCAAGGTGGCCCATGCAGGGATCGAACCGGTAACCTTGGCGTTACCAGCACCACTCCCTGACCAACTGAGCTAGCCCGTCACCCCCACACTTCTTTAACCTGGGTTTTAGGGCCCTTCTATACTTCCCCAATCCAACCCGGCCTTTTTTCCCCAGCCTTCTTTCTCCCTTCTCCTTTGCCAGCTTTTGTCCCCCAGCCATATTGGACTGTTGGACTTTCACGAAAACACTTTGCGCTTTCTGCTTGGATATCCCTGTGTTCATCTCTCTTCCCGGAAGGTATTCCTCACCTTGTCCACCTGTCGGGGTTCCTACTCACCTTTTAGCCTGACTCTAGTACTGCCCCTGCTACCGAGCTTTTTTTACTGTCTTCACCCCTGGCCCCTCCAGAATTCTCCTCTTTCCTCTTATCTCTGCATCTGTCCTGTGGCACTTACTGCTTTCTATCATGAATCAGAGTTCCTTCTGCGCGTGTGTGTTGGTCCTTGTAAGCTCCTTGAAAGCAGGGGCTGTCTCTTGCGTATAGTGGAGTAATTGGAAAAGCATATTGCTTGAAGTCATATACACCTGATCGAGTCCTAGCTCCTCCACTTATTAGCCAGGAGGAAAGTCACTTTCCTTTTCTGTGGTCATCAGAAAAGTAGGGATAATAGCGCCTGTCTGACAGAGTTATCAGGGGGGAATGAATGAGACCCGGTATGTGGAACAGCCGTCCTGTTGCCTCGCTCAAGGTCAGTACTCAGTAAACATTATTGAATGGGTTTGATATGTCCTCTCCCTTCACCGGGGGGGGGGCAAATGAAATAGAATTTAATCACCATTTAGATATTTGTTGCAAGTCTGCCATGTACCAAACCCTGGACTTTGTGCTCTGTAGCATCTACAGGATAACAGCTGAAGTCCTTCAGCAACAGGTGATTGTCTACACGCACGACGCACTAAGTCATGATGGGTGCTGTCCCCAGTAATTAGCAATTGTGAAGGGGATTTTTAAAAAATAAGTCAGGGCGAACTCCATTTTACTTCTGTGATAATGTCATTCTTAGTCTCTTCCGTTCAAATCTGTTCTCTTGAATGGGAAAGAGGAGGAGGAAGACTGCGTGATCCCCTGTCTGTAGTAGGCAGCTGTTCTCGTGTAGAGCTAATAGCAGCGATGGTTATGACTTTTTGTTGTACTTTGTATTTTGAGCAGAATGTTTGGGATTTCATCTAAATGAGGGTGGATGAGTCAGTGTTGTTTATTACATCATGTTCTACATCAAGAAAATGTCTTGATATCTCTCCCCACCTCTCTCTCTATCTCTACTACTCCGTCCCTCCTTCTTTCTGTCCCTCCTTCCGCATGGTCTAAAGGACATCAGACGTTGTCACTGGACCTCAGTAAAATGAGAAAAAATACGGGCGATTTAAAAAGAACCTTTTGTGTGTGTATGAAAGGTAACTGTCTTTTCTTGAGAAGGACCGTCCCTCATTCTGCAGTCATCGCCTCCTTGCTATTAAAAGTTTCTTTTACAGTAGATGATGTGTTTTTCAATGCTCTTAGCAAAATATTAGAATGTTAACCCTGTGTTTGCTTCCCCCATTTTAAAGCGATCTGTGAAGCCCCGGCCTCCCAAATGTTATTTCCTGACCTCACCACTGACGTCTTGGATGGATGCCCCCAGTCCCTTAGGTTGTCACCTTACCAGCTTTGTTCACCAGAAGGCAGAGGGTGGAAATGTCAGGGAAAGGCAGGAGGATGTCGGAGTAGCCCGGAAGTGGAGGCGTGCCCGGACAGGTGGCTGGACTGGTGACTGCTGAGGATTGAAGTTATTTGTGTTTCTGTCTTGTCAGCACAAAAGGTAGAGTCATAAGAATAGACACAGGCTCAGATCCTGACTCCGTCACTGCTGGCCGTGTACCCTTGGGCCAGGGCTAAACCTTTCTGAACCTCAGGTGCTCTGTCTGGGACCTGGGAGTGGATGCTGACCCCACAGGTTGTTATGGGATAAAATGAGCTGACGGACGTGAAAGCACCGTGTAACCACACCACCATGCCCAGCCCCGGCCCAGACTGTGTTTCACAGACTTTCCTGGTGACCCTTTCCTCCTTCAGTACAAACACAGTGGTTCGCACAGGTTGGGAACTCGGTATATATTGGTTTGCTTGGCTGAATGTTCAGATATTTACTTGGCTGGTATGTGAAGAAGGATGTCGGAATTCCCTATCTTACGGCACCAGTAATAAGAGCTTACGCTTACTGTAGAGTCTACTCAGTCCAGTTTCCAGATGAGAAAGCCGAGGCTTACAGACGTAAACACTTACCTGAGACAGACTGAGATGTGGATTCAGATCTGCCTGTGGAGCCTGCACTCACAACCACGTGTCCTGCCCTGAGTGTGTCCTCCCATCTCTCAGCTTCCAGGCGGTGGTTAAGGGTCGGGAGCTGTGACCTACGGGGCAAGAGTGTTCCAGGCATTGAGTAGCCAGGGCCCCCTCTGGGGGGCTGGTGACACTTTGGGCCTTATTTCCCAGAATGCATTCATTCTTCACCACCCTTTCACATTCCCTAACCCTCTTAAGGAGTCTTCCCAAATGCCAAATAATAATTGGTAACTGAGGTCAGTGCCATAAAAAAAGGGACAGTGGGACAAGGGACGCTGGCTTTGACAAGGCAATGAGATAAAGAGCCCTGTCTGTGCCTCCTGAGACCTCAGAGCAGCCTCGAGTCAGACATGGGTGAGGTTGTGTCAAGCAGGCAGAGGGGCCTTGGGTGAGGAGAGTCAAGGGCGGGAGAGAGCAAGGCTGCCTCTGGCCTTGTGTGCTAGGACGGGCCCTGGGGCGGGGCGGGCTTTGGTACCACAGGGATTCAAGTACCCTGGCCGTGGGCACACTTACATTATTAAAGGACTCTCTTTAGGCCTGGCGTGACTTCTTTCTGGCCTGGAGCTGTCAGGTACACACTCATTTGCATGGAAGATTGATAAGGTTATTAAAACCTCTAGTTCTGCTATTTTGGGTAGCGTTCTTTCAGCAGGGGTTTTTAATCACGGCTGAATGACTATAGCTGTACTCCAGCGATACAGCATCATAAAAAATTCTCCTACCTTTCTGTATTTGGAAGCACCATCTATAACTGTTCCTTTTTAATCCGTTAAGTCTCATCCCTTTTGGAACCCCCGAAATACCTGTAGTGGTTAGGAAAAGCTATCTGCCATCGTGGTCCTTAATAAACGTGGTTGAAGCACGTTGACAGAAGGCCTGGCTAATAGCAGGCAGTAGGAAGAGCCGTGTGATAAAAACAGTGCCGAGAGCTGTAAAATTTCAACATGCTCACATGCATAGCCTTGGTGCTTGCAACAGCTTTCCGAGGCTAAGATGGGATTATCCTGCTTCATAGAGGAGGAAACCCAAGGCTGCAAAGCAAGGGAGAGGGAAGAAGTCATTTCCGTTAATGACGTTCAAGCCTAAAGACTCCGCCTCCTGGTCCTGTCCCTTCCACCCCAAAACTGTCCCAGTGGCTTTTTCCGCCCTGTTCCTGAAGAGTGGGCTTTGGTAATACCTCCCAAGTCTTGTTTCATCAGGATTCCATTTGCGGAAGCAGAGTCAGAGCAGCCGTCACAGACCCTGACCTCCCCCAGGGCGGGCATGTGCGCACTTGCCTCCGAATGCCCTTCCGGGCCCCTCCACGCTAACACATTTTAGCCTGAGGATGAATTGAATCAAACTGAAATGTTTAGGAAGATGCCTAAGCAGCTGCTTCAGCATTTTAAGTCGTTCCCACTTGGAAATCTCGGGAGGTAAACCTTAGAGGCTTTCCTTATCCTTTGGTCATCAGTGTAGCCACCACCTCCCTGTCACATGCTGGTAATGTGGAGGGGGAAGCGAGAGGGTGGCCTGTACCAAAGTGGGAAGGGCGGGATGGAATTGGAGACGGGCCTTAACAGTAATGAGCAAAGACAAAGTGGATGTTGTGAAATAAGAAACATGAGCAGGAAGTACAATGAGATTGTGGTTGGTAATGTGCCAACTTATATGTAGAGACAAACAAAAACTAATATCTGAATGGTACAGATGCCCAGAATTGGTGAGATCAGAGGAGCCATCTGTCCGCTGGGAAATCAAAAAATACCAGTGTCGTGGAATGGTGGAGTCAGTGCCAGGCCCACAGCCTCGTTTGAGGGACCAAATGCAGTGGCGCTGAGGGCTTCTGAGGCATCGGAGAGGGGGATAAAATGAGAGCACAGCCCAGAAAAAGCACACAGAAAGCTCAGCGCTTGGCCAAACCGGGGCCAGGCTCCCGTTAGAACAGTACACACCGAGAGGAAGGTCAAACGTGTATCCCACTGTGGGAATCACATGAGCCACACTAGGGGTCACGCACTCGAGGTCAGTTTTGTGGGTGGCCTACTGTGTGTCAGTGCTGTGAGGAGGCCTAATGATGCCCGGATTCAAACCCCAGCTCTGCGACTCGCTAGCTGAGTGGCTGACCTCAGGCCAGCACCGTACCAGCTTCGTGCCTCTTGGTACAGGACCGAGCTCACGGAGCTCTTGCCGCAGTGAGCTGAGCAAATGCACACAAAGCGTGCAGAACAGTAGCGGCCCCCACACAGGGAACCTATTAAATGTCACCTGTCATTACCTACCTGTTGGTTACTGTGCTGGGCATCTTCGGGACGCATGGCTGTGGTGTGAAAGTACCTTTATTTGGAAATGTGAGAAATGCCAGAATGACATCATTTGTCTGTATTTGTCTGATACCTGATACGGATTGTTAAAAAGGGTTTAACAGCGAGGTGGTTTGTATTCATTTATATTAGTACTTCTTCTGAGATAAAAAGTCCTTTGAATTACAGGATAAATTGAATTATAGGATAAACACCAGGATTTCCAGCCATGCTCCCAGTCATTTAGGATCCAGGCCCATCTCTTTAGGAAAAGCCCCATCTGTTATTAGATAACTAGATTTGGAAAGAAAAACAAAATCTGTACGTATGTATTAGGCTTAGACCTTTCCAGCCCAATCCACATGCAGTTTCTCATTTGATTCCCGCAGGAGCCAGAGAGAAGGAAGGACAGTGTTTCGAGTGCTGACCATGTGCCTGACCCTGTGGTCATTGCCTGCATACATTGTCTCGTTTGATTCTCGTAGCATCCCCATGAGATGGATGTGACTGCCCCTGTGTTACTACTGATGAGGAGCCTGAGCCCCAAGGCCACACTTCCTGAGCAGTAGAACCAGCTCTGACGCCCAGGCCGCCAACTCCTGGGCGAGCCACACAGGACAGGGCGGCCTGAGGGGGCGCGGGGAGGAAGAGCTGGGGAGCCTGGTGTGCCAAGGAGGACACAGCGCGTCGCTGTGCCCATTCCTCTCCCAAGATGAGGGACCTGCGGAAGGAGGTGCTTGCCCGTAAGCCAGGGATTGTGGATCGTGGCCTGACGTTGAACTTCGTAATCACGTCAGCTGAGAAATAAGGGCTGTGCGCGCATCGCGGGCATGCAGGGAGGCTGTGCTCGTTCATTGCTAGCTCACAGCCGCACCCCCGGCCTGGCCCGCGCTCAGTATTTGCCTTGATAATGGCAGTGTGGGCTTGTGGCATCAGACCAGCGTGTTCTTCCCCGGGCCCCAGCATCGCAGGTTGACTCATCCTTCTGTCTGCAGACTTGCTGGCCATTTGGAAAAGGACGCGGAGGAGTTAAGACGGGGAGGTGTCAAATTGTTACTGAGACAGTTCTAATTTGTGATGTGTGGTTTTAAAGCCAACTCTTTTCTCCTGGTTTTTCCTGTTTTCGACAGCTCCCCTTGGGGAAAGACAATTTCTGCACCCACCAAGCTGGCAGGGCCTGCTTCCTGAGTCTTCTGGGTACATCTTAATTGCCCATCCCAGCACCTCCTGAAAGGCCCGCCCTCTGCTCCAGTGGTCACAGTGGGAGGATCATGGGAGAAGCAGAAGGGAAGAAAGATGAGGCTGATTATAAACGACTGCAGACCTTCCCTCTGGTCAGGGTAAGCCCCAGGGGAGGGAGGCAGGGCGACCGGCAGGGCCCACGCAGCCTTGGAGAGACACGTGGGGAGCTCGTCCTTGGCAGAGCGACAGTGCGAGGGAGCTAAAAGGACTTTGCTGGCTGAGATCTAGAGATCTAGGAGTTGGCAGTGATTCATTCTTTCATTCATTCATTCATTCAACAAGTGTTTATTAGGCCACCTGCTACATACTGGGCACTGTTCTAGGCACTGTGGGTGCAGTGAGCAAGACAAAGGCCGGGCCCACGTGAAAGAAAGGTTTAAACAACATAGTGTTAGGTACTAAGTCTATAAGGAGAAATAAAGCAGGTGTGAAGGACTAGAGGGCAGAGATTAGCTTCTAGAAAGGTTTCTCTGATCACACACCTGAATGAAGTTAGGGGGCGAGCCTCACAAAGGCCTGGGAAGAACACTCCAGGCAGGGAAACAGCAAACCCAGAAAGCACGAGGTGGGGATGAGCTTGGCCTGTACAGAGGAACAGAAAGAAGGCAGTGTGGCTGGAAGGCAGTGCTGAGGAGGCGGCAGGACATGAGGTTCAGACCGCACAGGCCTGGCGGGCCATGTCAGCCACCTGGTAGGGAACGTGGATTCTATCCTGAGCTCAAAGGGAACCAGAGGAGGGTTTTAACTCGGTTTGAGTCCACACCCTGGTTGCCCCAGCTGTGCGCCCCAAGTAAAGCAATGGGTCGCCTCTCTGGGTTCTGCCCAGGCCTGTGCCAGGGCAGCTGCCAGTGTCCGTGCCTTAAGCTTGGGACAGAGAGGCCAGCCCAGAGACCAGGTCACGGGCTAAGCCTCTCTCTGTTTGTCACCCCTGCCCTGTCTCTAGCACTCGGACATGCCAGAGGAGATGCGAGTGGAGACCATGGAGCTATGTGTCACAGCCTGTGAGAAATTCTCCAACAACAACGAGGTATTGCCATCGCTACAGGCAGCCCCTCGTGCCTCTGGTGCCCCCATGGGTGAAGTAGGCCAGTCCCCACAGCCAGCTCCAGAGAGTCCCGCTGGGCCCAGGCTAGCGCCTTCCTTGGAAACTTTGGCAGCCTGGGGAAGGCCAGTGAGGGAAGAGGCTGGTGCTGTCTGTGGGCACTGATCTGATGGCCATGCCTAGCCCTAGAGGGAGAAAAGCCAGAGGGGTCTCCGTGACACCCCTGCCTCTGTTCCCGGTCTCAAGTGGGCTGCTGAATAGGGCATCTTTCCCCTTGGCTCCATCCCAGCGGAGAACAGAGGCCCGCGCAGGCATTCATTCATGTGTCCATCCATCCATTCAGAACAGACGTTAAACACCATCTCTGCCAGGCACTGTTCTAGGTGCTGGCGACATGGCCAATTGGCGTCTACACAGGAATGTCATTCATCAATCTGGTGGCGAGGGAGAAAGAAGTCGGTGACACGGCAGCCAGTGGGGAGGCAGACCCTGGCCAGCGAGAGACCGGGCTTTGGGACAGTGAGGCCCAAGTTCAGATCCTGTCTTCAGTCCTTCCTAGCTGTTTTTTTTGTTTTGTTTTGTTTTGTTTTTTTAGCTGAGTCATCCTGCCACCTGTTGGCAGCTCAGCAGCAGCTCAGCTCCGGCCGGGAATCGAACCGGTGACCCCGTTGCTCAGAGCTCACACTCTTGAGCGAGTTCTTAACCAACTGAGCCACTCGGCCAGCCCCTTCCTAGCTCTTTAACCTTCAATGAGCCATTTCCCATCTCGGAGCCCCAGTTTCCTAGTCTAACTGGGGGTGGGGATGCTGCCCCCTCACTGGGCAGTGTACTGAGATGATGCCGACGGAATGCTCACCTGGCACAGTGGTCATGCTGCTGGTGGACAGCGGGCGCCCAGGGTTGGGACTTGTCCCACAAAGACTAGGCCCTCTGCCCCACCCTAGACCCCTTCCTGAAAGAAGCTCCTTGACAGGGCGAGCACAGGAGAGAGTGGGGCTGTTGCCACAACTGAGGGAAGCAGACCAGCCTCTCTTCTGGGAGTCCCCTTAACCGATTAGTGAAAAGCCTTTTTGTTCCCTGAAGATAAACCCAACGCCTCGCAGTGACGCTAGTAACCCTGCAGGGTGCTCTCAGAGACAGGACTTGACTCAGTCCTGCGTGAACTGTGGTGCCGGCACCGGAAATGGGCCCGAAGTGACAGAGCCAGAACTCAAACCCAGGGCTCTGTCTCCAGAGCTGACGCTCTACCACCTTCGCCAGTGTCCTCTTGACTGGTGAGGTAATGTCTGGTCCCCTGTCCCTGTGTAGCAGCCCCTGGCAGGAGGTGGCCTGCATGGAAACCCTTTCTGACAGTTCCATGAGCAGAACAATAGTAGGGCAACAGGCCTTTCTCTTGCCAAGACTTCTGCCTCCCACAGAGGGAGCTGACTCACGCCACTGTCTCCCCCCAACTGCTCGCTCTCACGAGCGTCCTCCTCGTTGCAGAGCGCCGCCAAGATGATCAAAGAGACGATGGACAAGAAGTTCGGCTCCTCCTGGCACGTGGTGATCGGCGAAGGCTTTGGCTTTGAGATCACACATGAGGTGAAGAACCTCCTCTACCTGTACTTCGGGGGGACCCTGGCAGTGTGTGTCTGGAAATGCTCCTGACACTGCCCTCTACCCCTGCCCCGTCCCCTTCAGGGCCTTTTCCTGCCATTCATCTGGCGTGGGGAGCAGCCCCAGGCAGGTCCTGGTTGTTTGAAGGAGAGCCTGGGGTCTTTCTTTTGTCCTGTGTACCAGTGTCCTGAGCCATGGCCCGTGTGTGAATTTGTTGACATCTCTACCCCCAAGCTCCCAGCCATCTCACTCTGAGTCCCAGGGTGTGAAGCGGGCAGCAGGCAGCGCGGTCTTGATGCAGAGGAGGGCAGGGAGGTGCGACAGGGTGGAAGGAGGGTGGCGAGATGGAACCTCTCTCGGGGTCTGGTGTCCCCTCGCATCCCAGGAGCCCCCTGCCTTTCCACCCCCAGCAGTGCTGGCACGTGTCCACTGTCCTTGTCTTTACTGGCCATATGCACATGGCCCCAAGAAGGAGCCTCCTCTCCGGGGGCACTGACAGCTTCTCTCCTTGTCCTCTGGAGATGTGGTGACTCCCCAGAAGCCCCTCCCCCGACCTGCCCCCAGGCTGAACAACCACTGCATCTCATTGGACCAACAGCTCCATAGCCCCCGGCCTCGGCCTGAGGACCAAGCAGCCTTCCCCCATCCCCTCCTCCCTGCCCTTCCCTTTCCCACTGCCTCCACCCGTGCAGTTGGTGACCAGTGACTGAGGGTGTGGGAACCGCGATGGAGCAGTTTCTCGAGGTGTCACTGAGCCTCCAGTGAGCCGCCTGGGCCAGGAGTGCGCTCACCATGAGGCCTGTCTCAGCAGGGAAACCTGGCCTGCCAGTTACTTCTCATCAGGGACCGCATGCTAATTTGTACTTCTTATCTCTGCTGGGTTTTCTATGTTCTTTTTGAGTGTGGGGAGAAGGGTTTTAGTAGAAGGGTGAATCCTATTTTACATAGCGGTCTTATTTATATATAAATGTCTTGGTTTTTACAATTAAAATGGCCAAAAACTGACCTCGATCTATAGCCTCTTGAGGTTGGGGGAAGATGCGATCAGGACCCTCAGGCTGTGGTGGGTCTTGGGAGCCCAGAGAGGCCCCTGGCTAGACAGAGTCGGCTGGGAACCCTGTGCCCAGGCACCGCCTCCTCGTCCCTGTCGCCGCCCCCTCCCCATTATGTCATGGGTGTGGGCGGAGTGCAGTCAGATGGGGCCATGTGGACACTGACTGGAGATGCCCTTGGTGGCCAGATTCGACTACTATGAAGACGTTTTCAGTCTCACATAATTTAATTCAGTTCAAAGATGTTTATTCAACAGCTATTGAGTTCCAGGCCATAGGAAGGTGGATGCAAAGATGGAAAAGCCACAGACCCTGCCCTCAGGGAGCTCACAGTTGATGGCAGAGGAACACTAAACCCAGTTATTTAACTAGATGTGGAAACTGACATAAAAGCTAAGGATGGCATCCTGGGGGGGAAGGAGGGGCCCCAAGCCCCACCTAGGGAGTAAGGGGCCCTGGCAGGGGGAGGCCTGAAAGCCAGCCCTTGAAGCTCAGAGAGTGGAATTTGCCATGGGGGGAGGGGCATTGCGCTGTAGGCCAAGGCACGTGGGAGTCACTGCAGGGACGGATGAGGGGGCTACACTGCAGGACAGTGATGCCCCTTCAGATCGGGCTGGCCTCTGAATCCCAGCCTCAGAGCTGAAAATACTGGACATGGCAAGAGCTGGGGTACCTGTCCTTCTCCGCAGCCCGCCTTCTTCACGCCCACCCAGGACACTCAGGCCTGGGAGTCCTGGCACCTGGCCCAGTCACGCCCTTGTGAGGCTGCCAGTCCAGTTGTGATGAGATCTGTCAACAGATCTGCTGGGCCACATCGTGTCAGGCTGCTAAGCTTGCTCGGACAAAGGCCAGTGTGGCTGGGCAGGGAGAGGAATGCCGTGGGTTCTGTCGTGATCTGATCAGGGCTCGGCTCTGGCAGATAAGGGACACAGTGGTCCCACTTCTGTCCACATCTGCTGTGTGTGGGTCCTGAGCTGAGTGCAGTAAAGCAGACAAGAAACGGAAGGCGAGGTCACTGCCCCACAGCTGACCATCTAGTTGGATGGCTCGCGGGCTCTAACTGTGGAGTGGGTCCTGGCCCTCTGGGACCTGGGGTAGGGAGATGGGGAGGCGAGGTGGGCAACGACTTGACCTTGCACCTGTGCTGGCCCAAGCCCTGCAGCACACTGGGTGCTGCCAGAGAAACTGGCGACACACAGATAGGAAGAAAGGAGAGGGGGCGCCAAGGCCTGGAATAGCTACAGTTTATTAACCGCCTGCTTTGTGTCTGTTCTCTGATCTGCCACATGTGGTGCCAAAAAGCAATGCTGGCCCAGCCCGAACCGAGGCGGTGGGGGTGGCGGTGGGAGTGTGGGCTCTGAGGCCCGTGAATCTGGTGCAGGCTCAGCTCTGCTCCTCCTGACCTCCCTGTGCCTTGGTTGCCTTGTCTGTAGAATGAGAATAAAAAGCGCCGGCCTCCCGAGGTTCCTGGGAGCCTCAGGCCTGTGTCTGGAGCAGGTGTGTGCTCCACTGTCCTTACTGTTCACCCTTGGGCATGTTGCTTTTCTTCCCACCTATAGATGAGCTGACACCCAGCTCCCTCAGGACCGGGTAGAAATTCAGGGAGATTGGGCTTGTAAAGGGCCGGCTGTAGCAGACACGCAATATAGTGGTCCCACTTCTGTCCACTGCAGCGGACCCCCTGCCCACTCGCCTCCCCCTGCTGTCCCAGAGGACGGTGTGCCCACTGTTGGGCCAAGTCAAGTGACCGGAGACCATGGCAACTGTGCTTCCCAGATTTTTTTTTTTTTAAGATTTTATTGGGGAATTGGGGAAGGGAACATTGTGTCTTTCCAGGACCTATCAGCTCCAAGTCAAATTGTTGTCCTTCAATCTTAGTTGTGGAGGGTGCAGCTCAGCTCCAAGTCCAGCCTCTGTTTTTAATCTAGTTGCAGGGAGCTCAGCCAACCATCCCATGTGGGAATTGAACCAGCATCCTTGTTGTTGGGAGCACGCTCTCACCAGCAGAGCCATCCAGCTGCCTGTTGGCAGCTCAGTGGCAGCTCAGCTCGGGCACAGCTCACTGGCCCACGTGGGTATTGAACCGATGACCCTGTTGCTCAGAGCTCACGCTCTTAACCAATGGAGCCACCCGGCCGGCCCCCCAGATTTCTTTTCTTGATCTCAGTCACCTCCCTCCACTCCCCGAGGCCCATGCTAGCCGTAATCACCCTGACCTTCCTCACGGCGCCCTCACTGCTCGTGGCCTGTGGTTCAACAAGCATTACTGATGGGGGCTGAAAAGGCAAGGGACAGGACAATGACGAATGCACTGTCCTCGGCAGCAAATGGCTCGCCATCTATTGAGGGAGACAGACCAGGAATGGAAAAGCAGGATGCATTGAAGTAATCTGATCAGAGAAGAGAGAGGGTGGGGTTCAGGGGAATGTGGGGTTCAGAAAAGAGAGCACTCTCACTGCCTGGGGCCCAGGGGAAGGCAATGAATGGGCCTCGGCATTTTCCCGGAATGGATGGGACGGGATGGGTGCAGGGGAAGGCACTGTTGGTTGAGGGAGCAACAGCACGCGCAGAAAAGTGGGGGTGTGAGGAGCTGGGAGATGTTCGGGGGTGGAGGAGTTGGGAGTGGAGCTCACAGAGGGCAGAAGAGAGGGCTGAAGGTGAAGGGTTTGTTGGGGTTCAGGAGGAAGAAACATCCCTCTGTAGAGGGTCCCCCACTTGGCAGGCACTGGACTCCCTCCCTTATGACCATGATGCCCCGTATCTCCAAAAGACCTCCAAGGTGGTAATCACTGTCCCCATTTACAAATGAAGAAACTGAGGCACAAAGGATGCAATATCTTGCCCAGGGTCCATCTAGGAAGCGACTCTAACCCAGACCCCGGCCTGCGGGCTCCACCATTCCTGCTCTTCCAGCACAACTGCATTCACAGGCCTTCCGTTTGCTGCCCCCCCCCCAGCAGAGAGCTGGGGTCCCCCCAGCCTGTTCCCAGTCCATCTGGCTCCTGGCTGCTGCTTCGGGCAGGCACTTCACCCAGCAGCCCCGAGCATTTACTTAGTGGAGGCGGCAACCACAGCTCTACAGCTGCTGCCACCTGGCCTCTCTGCTGTCGTCTGTGTGTGAGGAGCGGTGGCTCATCCGCTAACACCTGAGTCCTCTCTGCTGGGCCCAGCCAGAGTCCATGGCGGGAAAATGGGCAGCCTTGTCCAACACATCTGGGGGCTGAGTCACTGGCCCCCACCTGCAGGGCCGCATCCCTCCGCCTGGGAGAGCAGCGAGGACCGGCCAGATCAGACAGAGCGAAACAATGGTCCCCCCACTGTGGGTCTGAGCCCCACAGACCCCAGAACCATAGGCCTCACCAGAGGAGGGCAAGGGCGAGGGCACCAAGGCAGTCAGTGTGAGAAGGGGCAGGGGAAGGGCGCGGCCTGGGTAACAGCTCCATGGCAACCAAGACCGTGGGCATGCTGCCTTTGAAGCCCTCTGGGGCCTGTGGAGAAACCTGGTGAATATTTAATGGTGTCTTGGAAGTGATGCAGAGAAACTCCAGGATCCCACTGAACCTACTTCCTCCTCCTCTGGATAACAGCTTGCAGGCAGGCAGGGGTGTGTCCCCTTGGGTTGCGGGGGGCCCAGCCCAAACCAGTGACCCATCGCCAGCTAGCAGGAGCGACTGAGCTGTGCAGCTCAGCGGGCGACATCTGATGATGCCCTTCAGGTCCCTCCCCCCAAGTTGGGGAGGGGAGTTGTCCTGTTTTCCTTTTGTTCTTCTCATCTTGTATTTAAAGCAACCACCTCCCACTGCCAGCTGCTGTCTTCCATCCTTAGAAAGGTGGGGGGTGGGGGGTGGGAAGAGCTTAGGAGGCAAAAGTTCTGAAGATCTGAATTAATAATATTCTCAAACTCTTGGTGCCCCAAGTGTGCCAGGCACTGCA